GGGCATCGGCTCGGCCAGATGCTTTTGCCGTGACTCTCCCAGGACAATCAGAACTGCTGGAAGGGTGGGGGGCACCTGGAATCCCAGCCTCAGCAACTCAGTGAGACCCCCTGGGTTCAATGTCCAGTGCAGAAAAAGATAAAAACTGTTGAGTACCATCCCAGCGGCCGGTTCCCAGGCCCCTGAACTTGTGTTCTCCTCCAGCCTCCATGTGGTCTCTGACCAGAGACGGCAGTTCACCCTCATCACAAGACAGAGATGTTTATACAGAATGCAGCATCGATATAAAAAACAACGCTGGGGCTGGGGCTGGGGCTCAGCGGTGGAGCGCTCGCCTAGCACACGCGAGGCCCTGGGTTCCATCCTTGGCACCACTTAAAGATGAATAAAATGAAAGTATTGTGAGCAACTAGTGCTAAGAATAAATATTTTAAAATAAATTTTTAAAATAAATATTTTAAAAAAAGAGCTTTGGCTCCAGGTGACCCTCTGACCACGCCTTCCTCCGCCTGCCTGGGAGTTAAAGGGCTCTCTTAGGACAGAGAAGCACACCTTGGAAAAGCGCCTCAACACAGCTCCACTCCCAAGCCTCCGCCCCCCAGGAAACTGCCCTCCAGGGCAGCTGCCCCCCAGGACTTGCTCTCCTGCCGACTGGTTTCCCACCAAGAAGTGCAGCCAGAGTTCCTGCGTCCAGCCTCAAATCAGGGGGCGGCTCAGCTGCCCGACCCTGACAAACACCCTATTGTGCAGATGAGATCTCTTTTCCTGGAAAGGCCCAGCTCATTCCGGAACCTTCCTCGGGCTGTGATCCTGTCACCAGCTCAGGGGACCCTTCAGCTCACACAGGACAGAAGTCAGCACAATTGGCAAAGAGAGGGTCAGTCAGGATTATTTGTTGTGTTGATTGTACCGGGCAGGTTGCTGCCCCTCCACCCCCCCCTCTTTTAACATGTAGATGTATTTAAATGAGGGTCTGGGGTCCCTGGGACCCCGGTTGGAGACTTTCCTTTTTGTCTTGAAGGAGGACCAGGAGGACGGGGGTGGGGCTTCCTGCCAGCTCTCTCCAGTTTATCCTGAGCTCCTGCCTCAGCCCCAGGACCTTAGGACTGACAAGGTGGAGGGGACACAGTTCTTGTGACCCTTCAAACCCAAGCTCCTGTTGCCTGGGGCCTGGGGCTGCAGGGGGTGTGAGAAGAGCAGGTGGCGAGGGGGGAGCAGGTCCTCCTCGCTCAGGATTCAGCTTTCACAACATGCTCTTGGTTTGGGTTTTTTTTGTTTTTTTGGGGTTTTTTGTTTTGTTGTTGTTGTTCCATTTTGCTGTTTCTTACTCGAGGATCCTGGCTCAGTGTGCCAAGCAGGCAGAGCTTCCAGAACACACACATGAAGTCCAGGTCCTTGAATCCCGGGCCTGGGAATCCCTGCAGGGTGGCAGCTGCCCTCCCTTTGTGCCACTCCCCCACTCCTCTCCTTGCAGCTAGTAGTTGTGGGGGTGGGGGGGGGTGAGCAGCAGCAAGGAAGACCTGGCCCGCACTCCACTCTGCTGTTTGTTTGCTGTGTGATCTCAAGAGAGGATCTAAGCCTCTCTGTGCTTAAGACCTCCTTGGAGAGATCATGGTCAGAGCCTGATCTTCCCCCGCTGATGCTGTTGGAGGGCTGGGGTAGAGGACGGGGCCCAGGATCTTTCCACACTTGGCTTCCTTGGGGCAGGAGATGAAGCCCTATATCCCAACCTCCCACCCTGTCTGCATCAAGTGAAGTGGGCACCCCTTTGCTCCTCAGAAAAGCCCTCTTCACCATGGCTGATTTTGGGACTGTCAGCAAAAGAGTCCAATGTAGATAAACTTCCTATTTTCGTGTCGCCCTGTTTACTTGGCCACTGGCCGAGAAGATACCAGCACTCCAGGTGCTGGACACCCCCTTACTAGTTTT